GAGAGGGAAGTTTTTATATATATAAGGTATATATATAAGGTAGGCGACATAGGGCGCCTTCCGCTGGGTGGGGACCAAAGAGGAGAAAGAAATTGATTTCATATAGCCAATCATTTAAATGGTAAAATGATGTACTTGTTAGCTTTCTAGTCTTCCGACCACGTCAAAGTGCTTTTTACACCTAAACGTGCCAACATTCACCTTTCACACAGCATACACATTCACAAAACAAACTATGCATCCGAAAGCCAATCTTGGGGTTTAGTATCTTGTTAGTATGTGTTCAGGTATTTCGACACAGTGGCAGGAGAAGCCGGGGATCGCCCCAACAACCTTCCGATTTGGGAGCAACCACTCCTGCCCTCTGAGCCACAGCCGCCCCCAGAGATTAACGACATAATAAAACTGTAGAGCATCAAAATCTAATAACTACAGCTAACAGTTTGAATCCGTATATGGTATCCCATTAAACATCTGTGTGAAATTGTTTTAGTTATCACATCAATTCATGAGTTATGACCAAAAATGTGTTGTCAGTGTCATTTCCAGGATACTGTGACCTTTGAGTCAGTTTAAGTGTCACCAATTCATTGTCTGACCAACTGTGAAATCTGGTCATCAATTGTTTAACTATGGCCAAAAACATGTTTTGTGATGACAGTGAACTTTGACCACTAAATTCTAATCAAGAAGTGGGACATTTCAAGTCTGAAGTATTTCCCTCGAGGAGTTGATGAGAATGGAACAGACGTACGGACAACTGTTGCTGGCACAGAGGTATAAAAATGTGTTTGAAAAAAAAAATCTAAATGTAATCTAAAAAGTAAATCACAAGACAATCAAACATGACAAATGACATTTATTGAAGCGTGTATAAAAATACAAACTTTGAGAAAGGAACAGTGCATTTCTCTGCAAAATAACCATATAGACGAAGATGGACTACTAAAATATCTTCTCTAGATCAACTGCAGACCTACATCACATGCTAATGAACTAAAGACAAATAAATGTACATCCATGTTGCATCTCTACTAAAAATAACAGGAGTACAAGAATCTCTGTAAACTAGGACTGTTAAATACAATGTTTAAAGAACAAAAGAGTTTTTAATACAATCATATCCACTGTGTTCAGTCTATATGGCAGCACTGTACAGACATCCTGAAATGTGTGTGTGCCCACAAGGAGAAATCCATTTTAGTGTAGTGAAAATAAAACATTTTAAAGATAAGTTAATAAATAGACATGCCACAAGTAAGCCATGGCAGATGCTTTCTTCCTTTTTAAACATATAATTTTTAAAAAACAAAATGACCTTCAGTACTGAGAGTAAAGCTCTGGTAGAATTACAAAAGCTGCTAAACTGAATGAAGTACTGAACTACTGAGGAACAGCACTGAACTAACTTACTAAAGTTAACAACGCAGTTATTCTCAGTGAGCCTGTTTGCTGGCATACCTGAAACTCTGAGACCTCACCTTCTGGCAGGAAATATTACTACATTTCAGACAGACACACCTGGAAGCACTGTCTTGGCATCTTTAGAAATGAACAGCAACAAATTATGAAACAAAACCCCAAGAGACCAAGGTGTGTCCCAGAAATCTGATACACAACCACCTGAAATTTTCAATCTGTAATTATTAATGAAAAGTTACACAACATGGTTCAAACTGAGGACATCAAATCTGTACAGATGCTTGTTTCCATTCATTAGTTTATATACAAAAATATACAACATATTCAAGCTGTACAACATCGAGGCACATTTAGCCCCCAAAAAAACAAGAGTGGAAAGCAGTTCTGCAAACAGCCACAGAACATTAAACATTCCTCTGAAGGCCTCAAACTAAAAATCTATTAATCATGAAAGGGCACATCCTCACAGCTTTATTGGTCTGTGGAAAAACAGGGCTTATTTTATGACTTATCATTAGAATATAAATAGCACCTGAGCCTCTTCCAACATGAAAAGCTGTTGAAAGGTGGCAACAACAGTGCAGGAAGTGTTTCATTCTGTGTTGCTGCCACAGTCTTCCTGAGGGTTTGTTTAGCTTATAATGGTTCACTGGACACTTTGATATAACAGCTGCATGTGCTGGATGCCTCCCTGAATATATCTGTTTGTGCTGTTTCTGTATGTGCACCACCAATCTATCCCTTGCAACAACAATGATTTAAAATATAGATCATTTCAATTGTCTTTCATTATTTACAGACTTAAGATGGACATTTTCCGGTAACGATACACCCAACTATTACTCGTATCGGCCAGTATCAGCAAACAAACAACTTAACAAATTAATATATTTTTACTGCTGATGTTTAGCCAATGGAACCTTCCTAAGTCCCACCCCTTTTGATGTGACTATAGCAGTACTGTATGTTGCTTGTATCTTTTAAACATCTTCAAATTTTGCATAGAGAGTCTAGCACATAGCATATCTAAGTACAGGAAAGGAAAAAGTTGACCAAAGCTTGCTAGAGCTCAACAGTGACCGCCCACTTTCTGAACAGCTCTGGAAGTGAATTTAATTTACTCCACTGATGTTTCAGAAAGTTGTTTTACAGACTTGTAGCTAACCAACTACGAGATGAACTGTGACCATAAAACATTTGATTCAGAGCAAAAAAAACCAAAAAGCTTGCAAAAGTACAAGACTATGTACATAATTATTTTAAGAGTGAAGGAACTAGTCATCCCATAAACCATTGAGGATGTTCACAATAATAGTGTACTTCTCCTTGAATTTAACCATTGTGATTATATCATAATAGTGTTATAATATATTGTAGTTTGTGTTGTGTGTGTGTGTGTATATATGTTGTGTAACGACATGATTAGTGCGACTCATGCAGTTTTATGTAGACTCGTGTTAGCTAATGTTAGCTACCTAACTAGCCAGCCTCTAAAGCTCACCACAAACCTGTATGTGTTGTCTTTAACAAATACTGACTTGTAGTGATTCTCTAAAAAGATGCAGCTCGTCAGAAAGAGAAATCATTGTTCTTTGGTAAACATAACAAAAAACCATCGTACAGTTCAGTACTTCTCAACGCAATAAAAATAACTTGTTTCTTAAAACAAGGTTGATCTCATACAACAGACTTCTACAGGAGCATTGTTTCACAGCCTCATAGCTCATGGTATTGCTAGCTTGGATGGTTACGACATTATGGCTAATAATTTAAATCCTCTGTACACAATATGAATGGGATTTTTACTTTGGAACCTTACTGTTGAGCTCTACTGGAGCACAGAGCAAAAAAAGGGCGGGACTTACAAAGAGCCAATTGTGGAACTGGCATTTTGTGTCGTTTTTGAGGAGTGTGTCACATGACAAATGTCAAATTAGCAAGAGAAGTTTCTCTGTCTTAAAGAAAGAAACATTTTAGAAATGTATACACTCATTACAACACAAACATTAAACAGAGCAACATTTGAGAACAAGCTTGTTGAGTCAGGAAAGGAAAGGCAGAGAGTGGAAGGCTGCTTTCCAATGTATGGCTCCTTCCTAGGAGTAAAGGGTGAATTCCAGAGGTCTTCAGGTTTCCATGCAGCATTCATCGATCCAGCATTTCAGACAGAGAGCAAAATAAAGTATTTACAAACAGACAGAATCTCATAGCAAGCCAAGACAGTGAAAATGGAACCAGTCCAAGGATCAGAGCTGTTATCAGAGCTACAAAGTCTGAAAGGGATGCAGCAGCTTGTGAAAGATGCAAAAATGATAGTGAGGCTTTCTTTGGGCCATTTGTGTAGTTGAGTGGCATCCGTCAGTGTCTCGTACTGTCTGTCTGTCTGTCCATTAAGAGATCGTACCAATTCTGTACTGCCATCACCGTGCTCCTTCACCCAGCTGCTCCTCCACCTCCTCCTCTCGTTTGGGTGTAGGGGGTGGTGACACACTCACTGCGATCTTTCCCATTACCTGCTCTTCCTCTTCTTCCTCCATCTCCCCACCCTCTTCCTCTTCCTGTTGCAGTTTTGGCTTCCTCTGACAGCAGGGCTTGTACAGGTGGGGATCGATGAGGACTTCTCCGTAGCGTCCCTTGTACACAATCCCACAGCACACCTTCTGTCTGAAACAAACACACGTCTGTTAGTATGAGTGTGTATAACTTACATAAGTCTGGAAGTGTAAATTAGTGTTCATTTCTTTTGTCATTTTTCAGTGTGGGAAAAAGAATCCTCCACATCACTGTTTATTGGGACATAAAAACAGCCTTATTTGGACAAGTTAGGATTCTAGAGAACACATAATATATAGTCACGGTCTGATGAAAACCACACATAGGCACAATTTTTACAATTCTTGTCTATATATGGAATGGCATACTCTCCTTTGTCTACTGTCAGCATTTGGAATGGAACGGACCAATGAAAAGAGGTTTTTCTGCGCCGCGTTGTACGGTTTCCCCCATCGAGTACTGTGAGCTCATTGTTAGAGGAGCAGAGACTTTTAGGCCCTCGGTTAGACTCTTAGAAGAAGTGTCAACATTAGACCTGATATTGGTGAAAGCAATATGAGAGGGATTCATTGTGCTACTTTGAGCTCCGACTATAGTATACTTCTTCCTGTTAACAGTGACAACAAAACAAAAAAGGAAGGTTCAACAAGATGGCTGGCAGGTTAATGCCACCTTTTATATGAACTATTGCACACTGTCATTGCTGTAACTATCACAGAAGCAGTGGGTCTGAATGCAACCACGTCAAGATATGTTCATAATGAAACTTTTTTTTTTATAACTAGTCCAAGATTTGTTTAGTCTAGAGATAATGTGAGTAAGGGGACAATACCCTAAAATAATATCCTGATATTTCAGGGCATTTCCACTATAGATATTCTTGACAAAATACTGAAAAATATTTTTGGTTTGGAACTCATGATAGCTGTTCAGCTCTTCTCGGGGGATTTTTGGCTCTCCTCGTTCTCAACTGGGTGCTTCTGCTTGAAGAGGATTTAATACGTAAATATTATTGAATTGCTTATTTATAAGCAAGGTTAAGGAAACGAAACATGAATAAACTTTCTACAGAAAAAGACTGAGCAAGTCAATACAATCCAAAAATAGAGAACCAGCTAACGAATATAAATAAAATACGAAATAGGTAATTACATAAAATGTATTATATACATATTTAGAATGCATTTCTTTTATTATATTAGAGAGTTAGTGAACAATAATTAAAATGTACACAATATTGAATTATTTTGTAAAGACAAACCAACAGAACAAACAGTTGTTGAATGTGAACTAGGAATTTAAAATTCAATACGGGGGGATGGAAAATGAAACCTGATATCAATCTCAACAAAAGTAAACATATACTGTTTATACCCTACTTCAGATTTATTTTTGCTAATTTTTGTCTGAGGAAATCTTTTTCAGATTTCTAAATTGTTTTTATAATTTTTTTTATTATTAAAAAAAAGTTTTGGAAAAAAGTTTGTATTGTGGAAAAACCGTATTTGAACCCAGTATTGTAAATTGTATTAAATCGAGAGTTGAGTGTATCCATCCCTTGATGTAGCTGCTCTCTTTTAATTATACGATTTGCATTTATATTTGTATTCTAGTTAGAAATATTGAGTCACATCAACGCCATCTGCAGCCTCCACCTGCTGTGGCTTTTGTATATTTTGTGCAACTTCCTATTTCTTCACTCGAGTGAAAAGGGGAGTAGAAGTCCCTTACCTTTTCCAGTAGGTGAGGTCCAGGAAGGAGAAGGCCTGGGAAGTGTCAGGGCCGGGTGAAATCTCTGTGTCCGAACCCTCGTCTGATTGGTTGCTGTAGCTAGGTGATTGAGCGGGCGATGCACTGGAGGTGGTGCTGTGGGCGTCTGAGTCTGGAAGGACACAGAACCCTGATTACAACATATCCTACTGACAGTATGTTCACCAATGGAGGCCTTTTTATTTTCGCAGTGCATGGACTAGTTCAACTCAACAGTGTAAATTGTGAAAAATTCTGTGTAAATAAGAACCAGTATGTAGGATTTAGTGGCATCTAATGGTGAAGCTGCAGATTGCAACCAACTAGTTACCACTCTTTCTACAAGAAACTATGGTGGTTGCAAAAGGCCATATATAGAGCCAGTGGTTTTTTTTATCCGTTCTGAGTTACTGTAGAAACATGGAGGTTCAATATGGTGCACTCTGTCGATAAAATGGCTCATTCTAAGCTAACAAAAACACAACGATTCTTATTTTCAGAGCCCAGTATTTCCAAACCTTTGATCTAGATCAGAATGGTCCTCATTTTGTAATCCCTTTTTTGCTCTCTCGTACGTTTTGTCCTGGATTTTCTAAAAATATTCAGATAGGATCATTCTGATCCAGATAGCTTAAGATCAGGATTACAGAATCTAGATTTGCAGCCTTTGGATAAACCTATATCTGTTGGTCAAAGTGATTTCATTAACAGTAGTTAATCAGTTTGCATATTATTGATGTTTACTTATCTGAGTTATTGTTTAAACATGTTTAGTTTTTAGTAGTTTCAGTGTTTTTTTATAATATTTGTCAGTGGCAAGATTTCAAAAGTTTGGAATTGGTATTACAATACTAACAAAACACTTTGTGAAGGCAAGTGTCTCAATAATGACAAATAATGATCCAATGCTTGTTGTGTTGACAAACTTGACCAGATTGGCAAAGACTAACACTAAAGACATTTCCTGT